GTGCAATGGTATTAGATTGGAAGGATCCTGAAGGATGTGAAGGAACTATACAGCCATATGTATTGGATCATCTTCCCGTAAATTTATGGGGACGAGATGTCCTAGATCAATTAGGTTTGACATTAACAAATAACATCAACCAAAATGCACCCACTATTATGACTAGACAAGGTTTTAGGAAAGGAAAAAGATTAGAAAAACAAGAACAAGGTATAGCAGCACCAATACAAATAGATCAAGGAACAGACAGACATGGGATGGATTTTCAGAAAGGGCCACTGAGACAATAAAAATTACTTGGAAATCAGAAAGACCAGTATGGGTTCCTCAGTGGCCCCTGACTAAAGAAAAGATACAAGTAGCCCATGACCTGGTCAAACAACAATTAGCGGAAGGACATATACAACCTTCTGTATCTCCCCATAATACTCCCATTTTTGTCATCAAAAAGAAATCTGGTAAATGGAGATTATTGCAAGATTTAAGAGCCATTAATAATGAGATGGTTATTATGGGACCTGCTCAATCGGGGATTCCTCCTCAGTTGTCTGCTTTGCCAAAAACCTGGTATGTTTTAGTTATAGATATTAAAGATTGTTTTTTTTCAATTCCAATTCATCCTGAGGATAGTCCACTTTTTGCATTTACTATCCCTGCACTGAATCATGAAGGTCCTGATCAGAGATATGAATGGAAAGTACTCCCTCAAGGGATGGCTAACAGCCCAACTATGTGTCAAATTTATGTTAACAAAGTAATCCAGCCACTTAGAAATCAAAATCCTGAACTACAAATATTTCACTATATGGATGATGTATTATTAGCACACAAAGATAAAAACACATTGCTAGAATGTTATGCCACACTTACAAACTTATTAAAAAATTATAACCTAGAGATATCAATAGATAAAGTACAATTAAATTTTCCAATTAATTATTTAGGAGTTCTATTATCCTCAACCATGGTCCGTCCACCAAAAATTCAAATACGAGTAGATCAACTCAAATCACTTAATGACTTTCAAAAGTTATTAGGAGACATCAATTGGATAAGACCTTATTTAGGTATACCAACAGGAGAGTTGGGACCTTTATTTGATATCCTAAAAGGTCCATCAGATCCAAATTCACCCCGAATGTTAACGCCTGAAGTAAGAAAGGCATTAAAAATCATTGAAACATATATGGAAAATATGCATTTGGATAGAATTGATATAAGTTTGCCTTTATTATTTATTGTACTACCAACAAAAAATATTCCTACAGGAGTATTTTGGCAAGAAGGTCCATTATTATGGATACATTTATCTTATTCTCCTAACACTATTCTTACTAGGTATCTTGAGGCTGTAGGACAATTAATACTCAAAGGAATAAAAGCAGCAAAGGGAGTGTTTGGGATTTCTCCCAATAAAATTATTACTCCATATACTATGAATCAAATTGATGAGTTAGCTAATGAGTTAAATACTTGGGCAATAATCATGTGCAAATCTAATGTTTCATTTGATAACCACTTACCATCTAATCCTTTATTGTCTTTTTGGTCATTGCATCCTGTAATTTTTCCAAAAATGACATGAAAAACACCTATCATGAATGTTCCAAATATATTCACTGATGGGTCAAATAATGGTACAGCAGCAATAGTTACACCTGATCAAACTTTTACATTTTTAGTACCCAAACAATCAGCTCAAAAGGTAGACCTTAATGCAGTATTACAAGCTTTTGTGATGTTTAAAGATTCTGTATTTAATTTATTTTCTGATAGTCAGTATATAGTTAACACTATAGTATCCCTTGAAGATGCTGGTAGGATTTCCCCTTCCTCTACTGTTTTCTCTTTGCTTTCCACTATACAAAGTCTAATCTGGGACAGAAAAGATCCATTCTTTATAGGACATATCAGGGCACATACAGGATTGCCTGGAGCCCTTAGTTTGGGCAATGATTTAGCAGATAAAACTACACATGACATACATATTTTCTCTACACTAGAAGAAGCTATAAATTTTCATAAAAGGTTCCATGTCAATGCTAATACTTTACAAAAGTGTTTTAAAATAACTTAGGAACAAGCTAGACAAATAATAAAACAATGTCAAAATTGTGTGACCTTTTTACCACAAGTTAATCTTGGAGTCAATCCTAGAGGATTGATACCTAACCATATTTGGCAGATGGACGTCACACACTTGCCAGAATTTGGAAAATTAAAATATTTTCATGTTACAGTTGATACTACTTCTGGATTTTTGATGGGCTCCCTTCATGCCGGAGAAAAAACTAAAGATGTTATAGCTCATTGCTTACAAAATTTTGCCACTGTGGGCGTTCCAAAACAGTTACAAACAGATAATGCCCCTGGTTATACTTCTACCTCTTTTGAACAATTTTGCTCAACATTTGGCATTACTCATATAACAGGAATCCCATACAATCCACAGGGACAAGGCATAGTTGAAAGAGCTCATCAAACTATTAAAATGTACTTATTAAAGCAAAAAGAAGGAATTGGGAAGGGGTATATATTCCCCAAAGATAAACTTAAAATAATCCTTTTTACTCTAAACTTTTTAAATTTGGATTCATCAGGACTTAGTGCTGCGGAAAGGCATATGTGTCCAAAAAATGTGCATAAGCCCAAGGTACTTTGGAAGGATATTCTAACAGGACAATGGAAAGGTCCTGACCCAGTAATTGTCTGGAGTTGAGGGTCTGTTTGTGTGTTTCCACAGGGAGAACAGCAGCCGATTTGGATTCCAGAGAGATTAACTAAAGCGATTTCTACAGACCAAAAAGAAGATGATTTGACTCAAGTCCATAACAGCTGATATCCAAAACTCCAGTTTGGCTATCCTTATATCTGCAATAGAACCAGGATGCTTTTTTTCAATATCAATTTTATTATTGCCCTTTCCCACATTCTATTTCGTTTTTTGAGCTCATACAGACCTAGGTTAATGTTTTGCTGATCAGTTCTATTTTTTGACTATAGAGTTTTTAAACATTGCAATGGAGATTTCACCTGTAAAAAGTTATAAGGCCTTTACTATGAGGTTATGTGTTGTATGTATTATATGAGTGCACACTTGTGTTTTGTGTTATATGTTTGAATGTACGTAAGTCCATATATCATATATGATGAGCGCTCATGAAAAAATGGATCCAAAAATATATATTTTTTTATTCACATGATTTAAATGGTTTAATTTAAATTGGGTAAACAACTGTTGAAGATTGTTTTAATATGTAAACAAAAAAGGAGGTTAACAGATCTGTTTGTTTACTTTCACCTTTCGTTTTCATTATATTTAATAATTCTCTTAAAGACAATGTAAATTGTTAAGAAAATTGTTTTCTTTTAGTGCCTTCTGGAATGTTACATAATTTTTTCTTTAGCCATTATTGCCAGAATTCCTATCTTCATCCCAGTGCTGGTGAAGACAATGTAAATTGTTAAGAAAATTGTTTTCTTTTAGTGCCTTCTGGAATGTTACATAATTTTTTTCTTTAGCCATTATTGCCAGAATTCCTATCTTCATCCCAGTGCTGGTGAAGTCAAAGATAAAACCAATCTACAGCTTCGGCAATAGCCATCACTGAACTGCTTGCTGAACTTGCCTGGACACATTGTGAACTCACCTGTATGCATTGTGAACTATCTGTTGGTGCAGCGACTTGTGGTAGTGTTGGGGTATTTTTGCTGATGATGTCATCGGTGGTACAATTTTTCCAAAAGGAGCCGTCAATTGGCTTGGTGTATCTTCCTCCCTTCTGCTTGTCATGATTGTCCAGCTAAGATTTTGGGGCCAACAGAGGTGAGGCAAAGAACCTCACCCCCCGCTGGTACAAAGACCTCTCCACAGATGTGGCTGTATACTGGACCGGTAGTCAATGACGGGTAAGATCCAATTGCAATGGTACCAACCTAACCGGTAAGGACCATATGTACTATTGGACAACCTAAGGCAGGCACGGTCCCTAAGCCACATGCTTTTTGTTTAAACAGAGAGGGGGAGATGTTGAGAGCCACAGCCGAAGGGGCCCCAGCAAACTTCCAGCTGCCAGCAAACTTCCAGCTGCCGGCTGATGATTGGCTCACAGCGGCCCCAGCAACATCTAGCTGATTGGCTCCTCTGCGGTGATGCTCATTGGGCTGTTTCCCTGCCCTTTCAGACCACGGAGCTGCTCATTGGGGGACTTTTTTGGCTCCGCCCACATGACCCAGCCAATCGGCCTCAAGAGCAGGAGGATTGTGGGAGGTGGAGAGAGAGGCTTGTCTTGTTGGAGAGAGAGGCTTGTGGAAAGCCAGTGGTGGCAGTTGGGGCTCTGAGGGTTTTTCCTGAGAGGCTGTTTTGTTTGGCGTGTGTGGTTCTAAAAATAAAGTTAGTTTCTTTTGACAAGTGGCTCCTGATTGTGCCCAGCCAGACTGCGGCAGAGGATGTCTTCTTTTCCCTGTTGGGGAAAAGAAGACATCCTCTAATGGATCTCTATGAGAGAAGCGTGTGTACTGTGGGATAGGCAGCACCTGTAATTGTGATTGCTTCCAAGAGAGAAGAGGACACAGGTGAATTTCCAGAAGCTATTGTTGGCTTCCTTGCATTATCTACTACATTATCTACTATCAATTTAGCATCCTACCTCAAGCTTTTGTCCAGATATATGACAAATTCAGCACAACAATGACTTGCCTATTTATAATATAATTTTTAAGCCCAGCATGTTTCACCTTAAGCACAGATAACTTTTCTGTCTGGTGCAATGGTGCACATCTGTAATCCAAGTGACTGGCAGCTGAGGCAGAAGCATTGCAAGTTCAAGGTCTGCTTCAGCAACTTAGTGAGACCCCAAGCAACTTAGCCAAGACCCTGTCTCAAAAAATATAAAGGGCTTGGGGATGTCACTCAGTGGCTAAGTGCTCTTAGGTTCAATCCCCAGTGCCCTGCCAAAAAAATCCCAAAACTTCTAATACAAGTGAATATAAGAAATACATAAGCATGTGTGCATGCCTTTAATCCCAGTGGCTTCGGATGCTGAGACAGGATAATCACGAGTTCAAAGCCAGCCTCAGCTATTTCCAGTCATTTTGGTCTTGTTTTTCAATTCTGTAATAGACACAAAAACACATTTTAAAATATTTTTTGGTCTGAAGATTGAAAGCAATATCTCTTAGTAGAAAAATACTTAAAAAATGTTCATTGATTTTTCTTGAATTTAATTTTAATTTACAAGTTAACAGTACTGTCAGATGATATGAAGTTTGGGAATAGCCCAGATTCACATGAAATATAAGGCAGAACAATTATAGTGCACCAAAAACAAACAAAAAACCCCCACAAAAACAAAAACCAGAGACTGTACAGCACAAAGAAATACTAATGTCTTTGAGGGTAGGTGGACAACTTCTATTTGATGTCTTTTCTACCAATTTGGATCCAAAATTTCCTCATAAGGAAAGAGTGATTATTGTGTTTCATAGAATATTGATTTTTTTTTTCTGTGATAAAATACAATGAAGTCTTTTCAGGAAGAAGGTGTCAGGAAAAAAAAAAAAAAAGGTCGGGCTGGGCATACAGCTCAGTGGCTAACAGCCCTAGTTTGATCCCTAGCACCACAAAAGAAAATGAAAGTGAGAAAAACATTCTGTACTTCTAAATATCCTTGAGCCCAGCAAACAGCCCTTGGGGCCTATTTAACTCTTAGCCTTTCTATTTCTTCCCCTCCAGCTTTACCCCAGGCTCTATCAATTACACCAAACAAAGGAAGTCACCTCCTATATTTCAAAAATGTCTTTAGTATAGGGAAAATTTAATGGATTCTAAAGTAACCCTCCCTAGATTGTTACTTCTATTACCTTCTTTTTTATAGCCCTTAGTTCTCTGCCCCTCCCCTTAGTTCTTTATGCAAAATAAAATGTATTCCTAGTAACCCTAATCCTATCACCTCTCTAAATGTAGCATACCAGGTACACAGTTCCACACTTGTTATTTCTCAGTGTATTTTTGAGATCTTTCTAAATATATGGAGAACTACTCCATTTGCCACATGGTGTTTCATTGTAGCATAATCTGACAGTTGTTTGTTTTCAATTTTTTTGCTATTGCCAAAAAACAAAAACCTGAAATGAATAACGTCATAGGTAAGTCATCGCATACCTATGCAATTTTATCTGCAGGATGAATTCCCAGAAGAGCTATAGCTGAATCCAAGAGTAATTGTTTTGTTACTTATTGCCAAATTGATATTTTGTGATATTGTCTTCTAACTCTCAAGGGGTTAGACCAATTTTCAGTTTTACCACCAACGTATATATTTCTCAGTGGTTTTGAACTTCTAGGTTTTTGTTTTCCCCTACTGTGTTGGGAATCCAATCCAGGACTTCACACATGCAAGGCAAGTGCCCTTCACAGAGCTACACATTTTGCCACATCATTTTCCAGAACCAAAATTTAAAAACATCTCTCAAGATTCTGATGGGAGTAACATATTTATAAACTCACTTTGGCGATTTGTTTTGTGATAGTCTTCTAACTCGAAAAGATTATCCTTCATTTATTGAGATTTAACTTTGCCTACTTAGAATTATTTTATGTTACTGTTAGATATTTTTTTCATTTGGGAGATCACATTTTCATTTCTACATGTAATTAGCAGTTGTCAGGAAACAATAATTTTCATACATTTCACCTTAATGCTTCATCTTAACTTTAGCAATGTTATTAATTATACTCCATTGGGCATGTTAATTTAACAAGACTGGACGGGCCCCAACAGTCAAAAAAAACTTAAAAGACTTGGGCTGGGGATGTGGCTCAAGCGGTAACGCGCACGCCTGGCATGCGCGGGGCGCTGGGTTCGATCCTCAGCACCATATTAAAATAAATAAAGATGTTGTGTCTACCGAAAACAAACAAAAATTCTCTTTCTCTCTCTCTCAAAAACTTAAGACTATGGAAGGGATTTTAAAACAAGTATCAATCATGTCTCTACTGAGACAAGGCAGTCAGGAAGAACTTGATGTTCTAGGGAACAGCACGTAGGCTAGGAGATTTCCTACCAAGACCTCTGAGCCCTACCTTTCCAGCCTTCCTCTTCTGAGGACTTTCCAAGCCTTTTTTTCCCCTGCGTCACTTCCTGCCCTCGTCTCTGCAGCCTTCTGCGGCTGCGCAGAACCTTGACCAATTTTAACAACTCGCTGTTAAAAGGGGCCGGGATTGGTCCCAAGTTCCTGAGGCCGCCCGGAAGGGGCGTGGCCTGTAGACAGGGCTTAGGAGGGCTGTCCAGAGGCTGACGGAAGTGCTCAGTGTTGTTGCCGGAAATAGGAAAAATAAGGCTGTAATGGCGGCTGCGGCTGAGGTCGAACTGGTAAGTGCTGTCGGCCTTACTTGGGAGGGTTTTGTTGGTGAGTTTCGGTGAGGTAGGGGTCAGTGATGGAGGCGGAGCCCTGGGCGTCGGGCCAGGAAGGCGCAGACTCCGCGGGGTCTGTCGCCAGTGGGGTCGTGGCCGGGCTGACGACTCGCTGGGACTTGGCCTGGAACCGAGCCCGGCCTGAAGCGGGATTCCTCACAGCAGGTGCCGGTGGACCGCGCTGAGGAGGGGCTCCGCACAGCGGCGGAGGAGCTGGCCGCCCAGAAGCGCGAACAGAGGCTGCGCAAATTCCGGGAGCTGCATCTGAAGCGAGTGAGTAGCCCGGGGCCCCTTTCCGACCTGCCCCCGTCCGGCCCCGCACTCGTTAGACCGCGGAGCTGGATCTTCCCCATGGCGGCTCCTGACCCTAAAGCGCGTCGAGATCAGATCGCTCGCTCCCCGTCCCGCCCACTGGATTTAACTTGCCTGGGCTGAGTTGGGGAGCCTGGTACTCGTGGCCTCCCTGCTCTGTGGCTCTAACAAGCGGTGCATTTTACTTAAGGAAATATGTAGTTAGAAATTGGAAGAAACCTGTGTCGTGTCATTAAGAGCTTTTTAATATGACTAACAATCAACAAACCGCTGAAACTCTGTAGTGTGGTGGTTCAGCTAGATGAAGGCCTCTTCTGAAGTAGAGAACCAACCTTATTTATTTATTTATTTAAGGACAAAACCTTATAACCAGAAATTATACTGCAGTAAATGCAGTTTTGAGGTAGGAATAAAGTGCCTTGGGAGTGCAGAGGAGAGATTAGTGTAGCTTTAGGGGCTCCAGTGAGGTGACACTAAACCACTGTTTGAAAGAATAGGACATCGGACAAGTAAAGGGGATGGAGGAAGAGACACTCAGTGGAGGGAGCACATGCAAAGGAGGAGAATTCATATTAGGGATAAGAGTCCAGCAAACAGCTGGCTACAGTTGGAACTGGAAAAGGAAAAAATCCCCTGACTTTGATCTTGGAGTGGCCTGCCTGACAACTAGGCCATGTTTCCACAAAACCTCGGCATCACTCCAAATATTGTAGTGAGAAGAAGACTGTTTAGGTCATAAAAGTGACCAAACACCACTCACTGTATTACCGTACATATATATACTATATATACATACATTACCATACATATATATATACTATAGTCTTACTCTGTTCCTCCTGTCTCCTATCTAAAAATTGAAGCTACTTCATCCTAGAATGCCCCTGCCTTTGACAATGCCCAAATCAAAGCCTTGAATTTGAACTGTAGTCATCTGATACAAACTCATATTTTATAACTGTCTCTTTTAACATTTTCTTACTGAAAAGTTCCCCTTGGTTTGTGCTCTCCTTCAATGCAACAAATGCAACTTTGTTTGATGGCAAACCAGAGGGCATTGCCAGAGCTAAGAGTGTATGAGGGGTGGAAATTGAGACCAGTGTCTCTCTTGGCACTTGTTCTATTTTGGTGGTGTTGGGGATTGAACCCAGGGCCTTGTGTACACTGGGCAAGTGTCGTACTACTCAACTGCGCTGCCAGCCCCAGGAGTATCTCTCTCTGTCCAGAAAAGTTGATTTGATAAACACATAAACATGCTTAAGTATTTACTTTGGATTGATTAATGAAAGCTTATCTGGAATCTATAGGAAATATGGCTTTCTGGACTACCTGCCACCATCCCGTGACCTAAGAAACATCCAACTTCAGTTTTGTATAAGAAAATGTACTTATTTTGTTTTATGCGTTTATTTTTGTTTTAAAAATCGATTCTTCACTAGTACTTCAAATGGGAAGTTCCTTTTATTGCTTTCAATGTAAATAAACTTTTAAAATGTTTCAAAAGTAGGGGAGTCTTAGAAATGATTAGGATATTAAGAGAGGTATTAAAGTTCTTAAGCCCTAAATTAAGTCTTTTTCTTTGAACTGATCAGAATTTCGAGGTTTAAAAGTAGAATATTTTCCAGTGCTCCTGTGGTATAGGTCTCCCACTTTGTAAAACCTTGTTCTGATCCAACTTAAGGGACCACAGGGCTAAACAGGGGCAAATCTGATATTAACTTCTAGGCTCTGGAATGGAAAACCAGTGCAGCCCGATGCATTTTTCTTGATGATATGCCTCACTAGGCTGCTGTTCCCTTGCTTAAGATCATTTGGTGGCTGTTGTGGTTTGGATTTGAAAATGTCACCCAAAGAGCTCATTTGTTAGGCAATATAGCAATACTCTGAGGTAAGAAGATTGGGTTATAAAAGCTGTGACCTCATCAGTGGATTAATCATTTGATGGGTTAATCATTTGAATGGACTGTAGAGTGGTAAGTATAGGGGGCGGATATATCCTTAGAGGATTTGTCTTGTCTCTAGCTTCTTTCTCTCGCCTTCCTGAGTGCCGTGAACTGAGCAGATTTCCTCCTTCACACCCTTCTGCCCCTTTCCTTGGGCCCAGAGCCCTGGAGTGACTGCCATGGACTGACCCTCAGAAATTGAGCCCCAAGTAAACTTCCTCTCTTGAGTCGTTCTTGTCAGGTCTTTTGGTCACAGCAACAAAAAGCTGACTACCGTGTAATGGCTGACTGTTGCACCTGGGGTAGAAAGGGAGTGACAACGTGTCTTTCCTGAATTTCCTCAAAAAAGGCAAGATCTATTTGGATTTCTTTTCATATATATTTTTTAAGATTAGTTGTAGATGGACAAAATACCTTTATTTTATTTATATTTTTGTGGTGCTGAGGATTGAACCCAGTGCCTCTACCGCTGAGCTACAACTTTAGTGCCTTCTTTTCGTATTTCTGATAAACTTTTTTTATGGTTTTAGAATGAAGCTCGTAAATTGAATCACCAGGAAGTTGTGGAAGAAGATAAAAGACTTAAGTTGCCTGCAAACTGGGAAGCCAAAAAGGCTCGTTTAGAATGGGAACTGCAGGAAGAAGAAAAGAAAAAGGTCAGAAACTACTCCACTGTCTTCATGAGCTCCGTCTTCCATCATTCTCTTGCATTGAGACAGGAACATGGTCACTGATAGTCTGGCTCCGCAGCCAATGTTTTGGAATTGAAAGCTTAGCTCTGCTCTTCTGTGGCTGCCACACTTTGGGCTAGTTATTTAACCTTGAGTTAATTATAAATTAAATGAGTTAACGTATGCAAAACGTTCAAGATAGGGTCTGATACCTGTTTAAACACTAAAAGGTATCATATGCTCCCTTATATACCACATCAAATTCATAGATTTCTTTCATATAGCAATCATTTTTAAAAAAGTATTGCTTAATGTCTTTTTTCTGTTGGTCATCTGTGGACACCCTTTTTTTTTTTTTTTCTTTATTTTGGGTACTGGGAATTGAACCCAGGAGCCTTTAGCCACTGAGCCATATTCCCAGCCCTTTTTTTATATCGTATTTAGAGAGAGGGCCTTGCTGAGTTGCTTAGGGCCTCACTAATTGCTGAGGCTGGCTTTGAGCTCATGATCTTCCTGTCTCAGCCTCCCATCCTGCTGGGATTCAGGCATATGCCACTGTGTCCATCTTGTGGACACCTTTCCACACTGAGGGACAGGAACTTCCTTCCTAGCTTAATGTCTTTATTCAAACTTTGCTGATTTAGATTAAGTAATTGCTTGAATTATAATTGAGGGAACCAGTTTGTTCTTCTTTTTAGGAGTGTGCAGCAAGAGGGGAAGACTATGAGAAGGTGAAGTTGCTGGAGATCAGTGCAGAAGATGCAGAAAGGTGGGAGAGGAAAAAGAAAAGGAAAAATCCTGACCTGGGATTTTCAGGTAAAATTAACCTTTCCTGAATAAGCCTGTCAGACAGCATTGGCCTCAGCCTTCTGCTTTACTGAGTGGAGGCTCGAGCTTCCTCCCTCCGTGGAATGTTTGCTGAGAGGCCTAAACCCTAGGGAAAGGCACATGCAACTTAGAGGATGGAGCTAAAAAAGGCTCTGCGCCTTCAGCCTGGTTCTTCTTTGTGGTGTCTATACCGGCATATTCCGGATAAGGGACCATGGATTAGTGTCTGTGCACATGTTACTTAATGACAATTTGATTTTTTTCTGAATAGTAATGGCCAAACAAGGACACATGTCATCTCTGATTCTCATTTCATTTTTAGATTATGCTGCTGCCCAGTTACGCCAATATCATCGGTTGACAAAGCAAATCAAACCTGACATGGAAACCTATGAGCGACTGAGGGAAAAACAGTAAGTCCATAGGTTTTATGATGTTGTTTTCTCATCTTGGGGGCTGCGTGTATTTATGTGGTTATATGTGCACACACCTACACATACAAGGGTGTAAATACTGGCACACTTTATGCTGAGTTGTGGGTTATTAGCAGCTCCTAGGAATGGTCTCTTTTTTTTTCAGCACTATTTATGATTCAGTTGATAGCAGTTAAGCCTCGTCATCCACACCGCCCCCCCCCCCCCCCCCAACACACACACACTGTGGCTAGAACCCAGGCGAGCCGTACCACTAAGCTGCGTCCCTATTCTTTTTTTTGGAGACAGGATTTCACTAAGTTGCTGAGGCTGGCCTTGAACTTGCAATCCTGCCTCTGCCTTCCCAGTCTCTGAGGTTGTGGTATGTGCCACCCACACTCACATGGCCTGGCTGTTGTTCACTTTGTTGCAGTTAAACTAACCACTTGTTTCTCTTTCAAGCTGGCATTCTGAGTGTTGATAGCTAAGACCCAGATTAGCACAGATAGATATTATTTATGAGGCAGAAAGCTTTAGTGCTGGGGTGGGTGAATTTTTTTTTTTTTTTTGGTTTGA